TGGTGCAACAGACAGCTGTTGAAAAAGCTTTAACTAAATGTCTATTTGTCTATGCTCACAAGCCTTTGAGATTTATTTTAGTACTACAGCTGCGTTTCAACCAAAAGGAACTTTTATACTAGGACTGCAGGTCTACTTAGTGCTGCATTCAACAGCGACCTTGCACATGTTTTACAGGAAAGTTAAGAAAATCACAGTTGCACACTCATCAGGGAAATCCCTAGGAGCTTCAGATGTACTCCATTTCCATTTACCGTTGTTCTTTTAGTAGATCTACAGTTCCCCTTTTGGGTACTCCGACACGGTAGGATTTACAGAACACTTCTATATTAACACTGCAAATACACTAAACTTCCCCAAATCAGCCATCATTTTCAGGCCAACAAACACCACCAAAGCAGGACGTATAACGCGCTAACTAAAAGCATCAGTCACAGATCATGAATAACCAAGTTCAAAGTACATAAATCTAACAATTAAAATTTCTGTCCAGAACAAGCTAGCAAACCGTGAACATGTTTTATCTTGCACAGTGGTAGTTATTATTTCTTGCCAAGACTTAAAAATGCTCTGCCTCATTATTACTAAAGCATATAATAATTGAACAGTTTGAACACACAGAATCGTTTCTACAGTTACCAATATATTGATTCAAGCCTTACATATACCCATAAGATTTCTTTCAAATATGCATTTGCCTATACATTCCCATAACTGTAAGCTAACAAAAAAGAGCACTTTATAAAGCAGAACACCACACTTTCCACACGTAGCTGTCCGAATACAAAAGCCTTCTACCTAAAGTTATTTTTACATAAGAGTCTTTTACTAACTGAAAGAGACAAGCTTTAAGTACTTTGCCGAGTTATTCCAATTAGCAATACGAGAAGCTTGATCCAGGTTTTTAATTCCCCTCTAGAAAAGGGCGTGTGGGCCACTGCAATTTAACACTTGGAATACAGACAGTTAACACCTCCTTTTCTAGAGCGAGGAAACATTCGCAGATGAACCTGAGACAAAGACAGCCACAGATGGCCAGACTGAACTACTTTTGCCTACACAGTTGTCATCTAACATGGCCTCCTCATTAAGGCCTTGTCTTCACCATGCTTTTGTCAAGAGAGCAGGGCAAAGCTGCTCTGGCTCTACTGGTTGCAGTAGCCACACAGACAAGGCAACGCGATTTCTGGCCATTCTGCAATCCTTCACGAAGCACCCGTTTCACAACGCTGGTTATTTACCTCCGCGCTACCTGACTACACTAGCGTCCTCCCATGGTTGCCTGCCTACTTATGAGGGAGATTACTAACAAGCCACGATAGGACGCTTTTAAGCGCAGCGAGGGAAAAGGTGACTTGTTGCAGGAGTTTATAGGCAAGGAGCTGATAACTCGGAGGAAGGGGTGCGCCCTCACAGCGACCCTCACCGTCACCCTGGCTTCCCACCCCAGGCCAAAACAGCGACACCGGTCGGCACGGCTACAACGACAAGCCCAGGATGGCCGGCAGGCAAACCGATGACCCAGCACCCAGGGAGACAAAAAGCCAGGGAGCGCCTCCCAACTCCTCCCCGGGCCGCAGCTCACTTTTTGCGCTCTACCTCCAGCGTTAAGCGCA